TTTGAAAACTCAAGGAAAAAATATCTCAAATTTTACTAAATATCATAAAAATCAGTATGAAATATTTTATAGTTCTTTGCCTCTACCCACATTTTTGCCATTCTCTTGTATCTTGTTCTTGAGCTGTGACAGTTTCTTTTCAAGTCATGTGTGTGAGCTTACTTTTGCTGCACTAATGGCACCACTTTCAGGTCCTTGTCCAAGGGAGATCCTTCCCAGTCATCACCAAATTTGCTATTTCTTATTTCACTCTTATACTCTGGTTTAATTTTGAGGGTGACAGTGTTCTTCCTGTTTAGGAAAATCTTAATCAGACTTACACCATGCTTACTTCTAACATTCTATTTCCTTGGATCTTGTAGAAATGATGTGATTTTTTCCAATTTTGGCATAGTGCTTTGTAGGTGGGTTGCAATCTGTAGTACAGTTTCCAGTTATTTGAGGAAGCAATTGCATCTAAATGTGTTAACACTTCCCCTTAAGTGGATCATTTCACTGTCTTCTTTAGTAGGAGGTATCTAAAACAACTGATTGTCTTTAACTGATTTGCATTTGCTGGGATCCAAAGTTATGTTTTGAAAGAAAGTTGAACTTTCCTGCAGATTTTGAATATAGCTATTTGGTTTTTTGTCATGTTCCTTTCCATTTAACTTTGACTTCTGTTCGTGCTGGTGCTGTGCTACGCAGATGTTTCCTGGAATATCTCTTTTACAAAAGATGGACTAATGGGAGTTCTCATAAAGCACTGTTTTCAAAACAGTGTAATAAAAACATTCAACTCCTTGTTCTCTTTATCTGCCCCCATACGCAGTGTAAGTACACAGGCTGAGAACACAAACTGTGAAGACCCTGTAGAATACAGTGTTTAGGTAGGCAGCACAAAGGTTTTTTACACAGCACTTTAGTTAAACAGTCTGTACATATGTAGATATTGTGTGTTCTCCCCAAACGCAAGCACAGCAGAGTACACAGTATTGATCCGAGCTTGTAATTGACTTTCTGAAAAATGCGATGCCAGAATACACATCAAATATCTTGAAAAATATGAGAAAACATTCTGAACTTTCTGTGCTCAGCTTGCTTTTTTGATTGTCTTATTCAGCATATCTGGATTTTTCCTATTTGGGTGAGTGAGCCTGGCATTGAGGACCTCTGGTCCAAAGCTATCCTCAACTTTTATCTTATAAAAAAATACATTTTTTCTGGTCTGTCTTGCATCCAGCAAAGATCTACTTCATTAGCTCTTGCTACTAACCTAGTCCTTGCAATACTCCTGGCTTCATATATGCAAGTGGTATCTTTTTTTAATTACTCTACAAGAAAGTTAGATGATTCCTTTTTATTATTCTCTTATAAGCTTGTGGGACAGAGGTATTTTCCTAATAGGCTTTTCATACATGCACTGTATTACCAGCTCAGGGCAAACAGAAAAAGAGTAAGAAACCATTTGTCATGTTTCTTTTGAGAGAAGGATAAACATTAACTATCTGCATGAATATATTCCACTTGATTGAATTTAAAAAAAAAATAAATAATAACTACTAAGGTATTAACTAGAAAACCCAGACACTTTGAAATGCATTAGAAAACTCCTTTCTGTAAGGTGTTTTGGTTGCAGATGAACATGTAAGGCAGCAGAACCTGTTCTGCTGAAGTAATTTTTGAAGTCTATTTAAAACATGGTTTGTGGCAGAAAGAAAATTCTGAGTTTTTCCTTATAGGTAGTTTCTGACAAAAAGCAATTTTATAATTTGCTCATTCAAATGTCATATGAAATATTCACACTCGTAATTTAAAGATTAGTATGAACAGCTATTTAGACTCTTACTATTAATATATATCTTTCAAATTATCTGGAAGCTCAACATGTTTATAGAAACCTTTTAACATTATGCCCAATTTCCTGCTAGATGCCAGTCTACCATCATATTTAGTGCAATTTCCTGACCTGGTCAGAGATCTTCCTCAAAAGCTCATACCCTTTGAATTGAATAGAGGTTTTTCAGGGAACAAAGACTTCGTTTTCCTCAAACTACTAGCAAGTGTCATATGAGGTGAACAATTAGAAATCCTCCACAACTGCAGACAGAGACTCTTAGCTGTTTTGCTCCCAAGCTGGAGTTGAGATTTCTCGAAATGTATCTCTTCTTCATACCTAAGCACCACATTAGTTTTACTCTAGTATAACCACTAGATAAACATCTCAAATGCTCCCTGGCATGTCGCATAGTCACTGAACAGGCCGGAAAGGACGTCTGGAGCTCATCTAGTCTGATCATTTGCTCAAAGCAAGTCCAGTTAGAACAGTTAGAAATGACCAGGTCCATTTAGGATCTCACTTTACTTGACAACCTCTTCCCACCTGCCTGATCACTCTCATAGGCAGAAGGGTTTTCCCATTCACCAACATGTGCCTGTTGCCTCTAGTCCTGTCACTAGGCATCCCTGCAATAGCCTGCCTCTGTCTACTCTGTACTCTCCCACAAGGTACATGGAAGCAGCAATTAAGATGCCCCTGAGCCTTTTCTTCATAAGGTTGAACAAATCACATTCTAGCAGCCTTCCCTCATCCATCATATGCTCCAGCTGCCTGACCCTCTTAATGGCCCTGGCTAGACTTGCTGTAGCCCTAGAAAATCCTGTTCTTTGGAGATTTCCAGCCGTGAGAGGCAAAAATAATGCTGTTATGGTGGCTATTTATCTAAATAAGTCCAAACAAATTAGGAATAATAATAACAGAAAACTTGTATCTTTTCACATTTTCAAGTTTGAACCCAGTTAAACATACACCTAAAAATAAATTATTTATTAAGAAATGATCAAGAAGTAATATGTCGTATCGGTTTCAAAGGAATTTAGTTTTCTCACCAGAAGAGAGATTTAAATGGTTGAAAGCAGGTATATGGCATATATATGTATAAATATGGTGCAGCTTTATGCCACATACCTTCTTCTAATAATTTCAGGCCTGCAGTTTTAGATTATCAAATCACTTATGCTGTCCTAGTACAGCACATTGGCATTTTAGTCAGAATGGTAACAAGCTGTGTGAAAAATAATCTACTTATGGCCTACTTGAGCCATACCCTGTGCTGACCCAAGCTGACTTTTGAGCAAGACAGTCTCTTCAGCAAATGTCCAGTTTACTATTTTAAATTTGCATAGACACATTTTCCATCTGCCAAAACATGTACTGAATTAATAGGAAATGGAGTTATTCACACTCAGAAGTACTGTTTGTACTTTCTCAAGTAAAATTCAAGGAATGTGCTTTCGGTGATATCTTGGAGAAAAGGATGACTTCTGCAAAAGGGATTTAAGGAAAGAAAACCCAGAGAAGATTTGTGACACTGTGAAAAAATATGGATTAAATGTATTAGAGCTGTTGCTAAGAGGAACTGACGGAGCTGCTGAGGTAGCTCAATGACCTGATTAAGACAGTGGTGAGAAACCATGTTCTCTGTCCACCTCGACAAGATTTGATCATACATAATTTTATTAACTTGGTATACAGAGACTCCCTCTTAAAATAGATCTCAGATTGCCATGGAGCCGATGCTGAGGAATATACGTAGATACCCATAGGTCTCATTACATTTATGGAATTGAACAGAATAACATCCATAGATGTGTAGGCTGAAATTGAAGAAACATTAAATTAAATGTTATATAGTTGTAATGCGAGAAAAAAGTACCTGAACCATTTGTGTCTCCAGAAAAGGTCAGATTGTTATAAAAGCTCATCATTAAACTTTGAAAACATCTTGCACAGATCATCAGTAGCAAACTGTGGAGAAAATAACATAAGAAAAATTTAATTCCTTTTAATTATTTTCGGTTTATATATGAAAACACTCTGTGCACATTATTTCAAAACACACAGGGAGTACTTCTCACAGCCCTGCCTATTAACGAATGGATGGGAATGAATATACATCACCTATTAAATTTGCTGAGAACACTTACTGAGCACACTAGCAAAAGAAAGGTGTCTTCTGGAAAAAAAACAACCAAAAACCAAAAAACCAAAAACAATCCCCCCACCCCAAAAAAAACCCAAAAAAACAAAAAACAAAAAAAAAACCAACCCAAACCCAAACAAAAAAACCCACACTCATTTCAGGGTCCGTGAGAAATTAAGAGCAGGATGGCAAAGGGTGTTTACACAGGCACTCAGCCAGGAAACAGTGTGTTTTCCACAGATACAGTCATTCAGGGAGCACATCTCTGATTTTCATGAGCTCCCTCCCTCTGTTCTCTTACCCCTCTGATTTTATCCAGAAATCTATCTGTAGGTGAGAAAATACATTCAGTTCTGCACAATGTATTCAAATGCTGCCTTTTTCCTTTAGGGAAGTGCTACCACACTGAGGCCATTTGTAGGAATTTTACCCAGCAAGATAAACAAATGCAAACCCCTTAAGGAAACACACGAACTGCAGGATAGTTTCACAGTGAATCGTTACCAAAAAGCTGCATAAGACGACTATAAAGAATTCTCTATATATCTTCTGTGAAATGCAGCATTGCTTATTAGCAGGCTTGATGGAAAACCCTGTGAGATAGAAAGTCTTGTCACTTTATTTGTATGTGCTTTCGTGCATCTTAAGTTGCAGCTTCAGATCCCTCAGGATCATGTGAGGCTAGGTTATATATTAGAGAGCCGTGCTATAGTACTGTGAGAGTGTAAGCCTAGCAGCTGGGTAGTGTTATGGTTGCTGCTTTCCTGTGCTAAGCTGATTTACTTGTTTAAGGTCTGACCTCATCATCCTGTCAGTATGGATTCCCACCTATACAGTTAGCAGCAGCTTAGCATCGGCTTGAAGAGCTTGCAGTATATTAATCAGAAGAGAGAGGGAGAGAGCTACCGGTATTTGTTCTTTTGTTGTCTTTTCTTAAGAAGAGGAGTTGAAACACAAGAGATAACAAAGAATCCGTTTCCTTTCTAAAAGAATAGGCTTTTTTCCTTTTTTTTTTTTTTTCCTTCTCCCTGAAAAAAAATGTCAGTATCTGGAAAGAAAGAGTTTGATGTGAAGCAGATCCTGAGGCTCCGTTGGAGGTGGTTCAGTCACCCCTCGCAGGGCTCCACAGGCACAGGGGGCTGCCATCAGCAGGAAGGATATGAGCACAGAGGGACACCGGTCCAGAACAGGTTGAAGAACCACTCTCGGGACAGAAATGGGCTGAAGAAAAACAGCAGTCCTGTCCACCACAATATACTGGCACCTGTGCCAGGTCCAACCCCAGTGCACCACCGATCTATTCAAACCTGGCATCAGCAACATCTCATTGAACAGCTTCGATCATATGAGGATATTCCAAAAACAAGCACAGAGGAAAACTCTGTCAAAGAAGATTCAAATAAAACCACACAGGAGTTGCAGATGATCACAGAAGAAAATTCAGATGAATCTGCAGAGAGGTAGGAGTTTTAAAGTCTGCACTTAGAAAGCCATACTTCTATCCAAGTTATTCCCTGAAACTGTCTTTGTTTTTAACCTGAGTTCCTTACTGCATTAGTCTCACTTTCTATATGTGCACACCCACGCTCAAATTAATAGGAACACATTTACATTAAAAAAATGAGCAGGAACACTGTCATGAAATTTTGATCTTTGCTTAAGATACATCATTTCATAACTATTCCATAAAAATAAAATCTGCCAGTTTGTCAAACTGTCTCTATTACAGTTTACAGCATATTATTTTTTTTCTTGATTTATTATGTGTAAGTGTGATGAAAAAATGAGCCTTCTGAAATACTGTCCTCATTCTGACTTTATCAATGGGTGCAACTTTGACAAATGGGAAGTGCTGGAGGTGCACAGTCTGTGGTTGCCACTGATCTGTCAAATTCCTCACTGCTTATTTTTACTGCCTTCTTGACAAGTATAATTAACGTTGAACTAAGTGGAAAGGAAGCATCATTACCTGCCATTTTTAAAGGTTTATTTTAAATCCCTTTACTTTCACAGCTTATTTAGTATACTAAGACAAATACTTTCTGCAAGGTCAGGTGAAAAAACATCACAGCTATGAGACCTTAAATGTGTAAGCACAAAGGAAGAGCTATTTTTAAGATGTTTATACAGAGAAGAAAATACTAACACCAGTTATTTTAATAAGCATGACTTTTACTTTTTATGATTTTATTTTTCCAAAATTGATGTCACTGTTGTTAGCTATACAGCAACAATGTTACCCCACCTTAGGCGCAAATTACACCTCTGTAATGTGATTATTTGCACCTTTTGATGTGATTGCCATCAGTCTTTAGAAATAATTTAGGTTTCTTGCATTGCATTTAAATACAGATCTGTCTTACTCGAAGTCACACTTTCTCTCAGTAAAAACAAAGCTGACAGTTTGTGTATTTTTAGCAGTTAGTATTTTTCAAGTT